CTTTAGAAAAAAAATTGGTATGCAGTTTTATTGCCAATTCAATTTTTAACCGACTTCCAAAAAAGGAGGAGATTATCAGTCCGTCGGAATACTTTTATTTTCTTTTTTATTTATGTTACTGCATAACTTAGGACCACATCAACCGATTTCGATAATTCGGAAAGATGATGTCTCAAAGGTGGTCCCATACTAATCTGGTTTAGATCCGATCATTGGATCATATATATATAAATATTTTTTTTAAGTCGTTTTTTTGCTAAAAATTACTTGTATTATAATCCAGTGCAAGTCTCAAGTGGCTGCAATATTTGTTACACATTTTTTCCATGCAAAGTAGTTATGTTCCAAAATTTTTTATATGGAGAAAATGAGCAACACCTTCAAGAAAAAAAATCCAAAACTCTACGGTAAATCCCAGCTACTTCAAACTAAAATTGAATTTGGTGCAAAACTGAATGTTTCTAAGAAATCGAATTAAAAAACTGGAAATTTTAATGAAACTTTGCTGAATTTTTCTATTTTTCGCAGAAAATTTGAAATTCGCACTTACATGATTTTGTTAGACAACGAGCTATATTTTCATAAAAAATAGTTAAACAAAAATAATGTATTGCGCCACTGTAGCTATCCATGTTTAGCTACAAAGGAAATATACATACATACATAGCTAAGAAATATTCTTAGCGCTTGATTTTGAATTTGAATTTTTCATGGTTGCGCGTTTGATGTAGATTTCTGGATTTTTATTGTCATCCATCTAAATTGAGATTAGTGGCTTTTCATGAATACTCGCATCAGACCATTTGACAGACCAGCCACAATTTACAATAACAATACAGAGCGCGTCTAAAAATGTAATCAGTTAGCCAGAAATACTCGTAAGTATACATCTGTGCATGTGCAATTGAAATTGAAATTCTAAATTGAAAGCAACCAGCAGCGCGCGCCCGCGCCTTTGAAGCTAAAGGAAATTTTCTGGCGCGCATTCAACGCTTTGATTGTTGCAATGCGGTCTCGGCGGTTGGATGCTGGCAATAAATGCACGCCACAACTGCAACGCATTGATATTAATTACTTCTACATAAAACTCATTCAACTTTCGTTTTGCTCCTCTAACTTACAAATTCTGTTGCACTAATTGCAATCAAATTAAAGCATGCAGAAAATCAGTTTTGCTGTCTTTATTTGGTTATCGCGAGCGGCAGATAAATACTTAAATATATGATAATTGCAGCCGCGCGGCTAGTTTGCAACTACACATTATGCGATGCGAAAAAGCATAATTACCCTGCAAAAAATTGTGCGAAAAAATGTCTAAAGAAAGTAGTCCCGAATTAGTCGCCATGAGGCACAGAGTTTAGCTAGTCCTCGCCTTATGGCTTACGGTTACAATTGAAGATCAAGAAGTCTTCGACTCATCTCAAGCGAAGGCGAAACTCAATCTCAGAAGGTCTATCGAGGTAATTATTTGAGCAGTTGAGCCGCAGAAAACTTGTGGGAATGCAAACTACTTGACCTCTTGGAACTGAAACACCTGACTGTGTTCGCCATAAATATCCTTCGTGCCTTGAAGAGGCTGAGATGGCGGAACACCTTTTAAGCTCTCGTTAACCCAGCAGCAAATCTGTAGTTCCCTCTTGTACAAGTGAACATTTCGAGACAGGTTCAGTACTATTTCAGGATTATTCGCGAAAGTTTAGGAACTAATGCAGGACTAGTTAGGGATCATTTCGGAACCTGTTAGCAAAAAATTCCGGGACTAGTTCAGGAATGTTCCAAACCTAGTTCGAGATAAAGTAAAATAAAGTAACATTTGGAAAAAATATTTCGGCTAGTTCGGTATAATTTCAAAGTAGTTTAAAACTAATCTCTTAAGTGTTTAGCCGAGCTTTTTCTCCGTTTTGTGGCGTGCGCGTTGTTGTTGTCACACAAAGCAGAGGGGCCTACAGTTTTACGCCGACTCCGAAGGGCGATTATATTTTTATGAGAAGCTATTTTTCATGGCAGAAATACACTCGGAGGTTTGCCATTGCCTGCCGAGAGCGACAGCTATTAAAAAAACTTTATTTTTTATTTATATTTTTTTTTTATGTTGAGTTGATGCGTGCTTGAACATGAAAGCGCACACTGCTAACCTCTTCACCACAGCGGCCGCCTGTTCGTTTACATTTATCCACTTACATTTATATCCTTACATTGAGCCACTCGCCTTCGCACGAGTGTATTTTCAGATATTTATGCATTCCCGCTAAGTAATCGTACATAAACAAACTTACTTGCTGGAAACTACAAACCACTCGCGTCAATTTACCACCCACCTCTGGTTTATTTATTTGTCGTTGTTGATAGCGAAAAAAATTTACATATTTGATTATGATTTCAATTGCATGCAGCTCCTTCTCAATCATTCGGTTTCTGTTTTATGTTTTGCATGCTGAATTTATAATTCATTGACAAAAATAGCCAGCATTGCTATGTATTAATCATTAGGTATTTATAGCAAGCGAACCGCGGCAATTGCTTGCGTCAAAATATTTACCGTAGCGTAATACACTTTTTCTTATATAATGCATTTGTGCATAGAACAATAAACTGCATTATTGAGTGGGTGTGTCCATGAACGTTAGGCTAATTAACTTAAATTAAAATGTTTTTGGGTAACTGGTTTGGCATGCAAACATATATACATGTGTACATAGTAGATAGTTATGCATACGTAGTCGTCATAGATGTAATTAAGAGGAAATGCATAGTATTTACGTGTCAAGCCTAAGGGAAAAAAGCATGAAAAACAAGGTTACATGAACTTAATAAAAATTTACATACAAGTTCGGGCCCTTACTCAACGTCTTTTTGTCTATTTATGCATTTTTTTAATTCAAATAAAAATTAGTTGCTAACAATTCCTTTGGATATACAAAAATTTATCCGAAAATTAAATAAATATGGCAAAAGGCATAATTTGGTTTGGATCTATGCGTTTTTCATTACCATTACCATTGCCGTTTTCTTTACCATTACCACGACCATTATTACGATTATTATTACCATTACCGTTATCAACGCCATTATCATTTACAATGCAACTAATACAATGGTGACGTCATTATCATTACCATTATATACCATAACCTTTACCATTACCATTACCATTACGACACCATTCCGGCTACCATTCCCAGAATAACATTACCATTACGATTACTATTACCACTAAAATTACTATTACCATAACCATAACAATTACAATTACCATTACCAACATCATTACCACAACGATACCATTATTTCTGCCATTATCTTCAATAATTTAATTAGAAACGTCTCTGATCTAAGCACATACATACCCATATCTAACTGTGGTTATTCCAAAGTGTCCATTTACTGTCCTGCATCAAATGTTGAGGTTCCATAGTTTAACTTCCGTTATATCTGCCAAGCTGGCGATAAAGCGAGTTTCCAAGTACTTGAGTGGCCTTGTCTGGAGAGCGGGACAATGACAACGGAAAGGGTTAAATTATTCATTCTCTGCCATCGTTGGAAGTTCTCAGTGCATATCTTTTTAAGCCTTGGCCATAAAGGCCTCGAGACTTCACACTCGCGACTATCGCCTCTAGATTTATCCACCGGGCATTTGTTAGGGCTGTGGTGCACTCGTTAATTGTTCCTCAGTAGATAATTAATCAGTGTTTGCAGAGAGTTATATGCTCGGTTGAACTGCATTGATTTCATATATCTCCGTACCAAGTTCCAGTTCTCTATTATGGAACTTCCAGAGATATGCAGGTTCGCTTTATATGGAAGGTGCCACGCACCCCTTTCCAATAGCCCCACTTTTTAGCATGACTATGCGATTGATTTTATATATTACGACCCTCGTGCGACATGTGAAGCATTCCCGTACAGACTCGATCCTATTATCCGCGATAAATATGGCTACATACATCGTACAGTCAGACATTTTTCTTAAACCTGGACTAGTTCTTATGATGAACTGAGGTTTTTGAATAAAATAAAAGCAAACCAGTCAAAAACCAGAAAAAAAAATTTAATTGGTAGACAACATTTCGAGTGCCTCCCCCTGTATATACATATGTACAAATACATTTTTTGTTATTTATTTGTAATAAAATTAAATACCTTGCAGCCGGTTTCACGAGCAATTTAAATGGAAAATGATTTTTTATTTTCGGTCAATTTCCATACAAAATTCAAGAAATTTAAATTATTTTTCACTTAAGTTGGTTTCGTGAAATTGGCTGTTAGTATTCCAAGAATTCCTTCATTTTTGAGGGTTACAGTTTTTTGTTAAAAAAATTTGGCCATATTGATTACGAATAAATTTACTATTGCCGTTACCATTATAGAAATGCAATAAGTTTTAAATCATAATTAATTATTTCATTAGAAATCGGCAAGCTCTTAACCCTAATCATTTAATTGAATGTACTGCATATACTGATCGCTTTGCTAGCTCAATGGATTAATTTAATAACTAATTAGTTAAATGACAGCGAGCACATTCTTTATTAAGACTGTTTGGATGTCACTAATATGAGCTCGCGAAAGCTGTCATTTGGATCATTTTTTATACTTTACAGGTTATGTTGTATACATACTATAAATCAATGGTCATATTTATGTATGTATGCATGTGTAATATGTATGTAGCTAGACTTAAACAAATGATGTAGGATTGTATATAAAAACTTACATACGTACACGCATACAATTGCTCAGAGCCACGCGCCAAAGTCGCCACCAGATTTCACTTAGGCAAATTTCGACAAGTCAATAACTGAAGTATTTAACAGCAACATAAAGTGCGGGTTAATGCAACTACAGGGTCGGCGAAAGTGCGTAAAGCTCATTAATTATTCTCGTTTTCGCTGCCAAATGATTGTCTTAATATTTACTTAGTTATTCTTAATATGCTTAAGCTCTCTTAACCCAACAAACTTGTCATTAACAAGCTTTCTTTCTGTTAATTTTTCTTACAGCGAAGTTACAGAAGGTGCCTTACAAGTATGGCGTGCGCTGCCCGAGCGTATACGTCAGGATCCGAGCTTAGCATCGTTTCGCATGGAACATGAGCGTCTACATGGCGGTGAGTATAAACAAAAAAAAAGACTAAAGTAACGAAAGATACGCAGGAAAACTGAAGAGGCAAACTATCAGTAGTAATATATTTTTTATTATTTAAAGCCTAAAAATTTTTGAATTCGTAAAAGATGATAAAAATTACGGGAGCTGATGAAGTTCAATTTGAAATTAATATCGACTATTCGTTTATTCGATTCAGTCACTTACATAAATACTTAGGTTAGGTTAAAAATTACATTAATTTCATTCTGTCGGTACATGTCAGGTTTTTTTCATAGCCACTTCGTGAACAATACAGCACTATTTCTGTATTATTTCATTACTAGTCTCGAGCTACCCCGAAATGATCCCGAACTAGTCTCCAAATTGGCCTGTAGTGGCCCTGAAAAAATCGTGAACCCGAAAAGATTACGAACAAGTCTTGAAACGGTCCTAAAAGTACCCTTACTAGTCCCGAACAGATCGTGAAATGGTCTTTGAAATAGTCCTCAGCTAGTCCCGTCGTAGACCCCAAATTAACCCGAAGAGTCCCGGAATAGTCCTGAAATAGTAGCGATAAGGTCGCTAATTAGTCCCAAAACAATGCAGAACTATTCCCGAAATGGTCCAGACCTAGGCTCGAAATGTTCCTGAACTAGTCTCTAACTGGTCCAGAACTAGTCACGAAATTATCCTGAAATCGCCCTGAGTTAGTCCAGAAATGTTCATTTGTTCACACAAGAAGGAATCTCATATTTTCTGCTAAACTACACATAAAGCAGTTACAAATTTCCCGCTGGGTTAATGTAAATTTTATCCATCCCCAGAGCTGACATGTTTACTCATCAAAAATTTAATTTGGCAATTAAAAAGCAGACGACTTTAGTCTACTTGCCATTATCCTAGTCCCGCATTATTCTTTTTTAGAGGACAACAAATTCTGAACATAAATAACCAATTACATTATTTTGCGTAACTCGAACACATTAAGCACTTAAAATATTGCTTGCATCACTTCTTAGAGAGTTGTTGTTATTATTATTATTCATACAAATTACATCTATAAATTCTCATTTCTCATTCGATGCCATACGAGTAAAATAAGTAATGAGGACATTCTTGTATGAGAGCAACCTAAAAATGCGAAGTCACGTGCCAAAAGAAAATCAAATTATACGCGCATAGCAACACACAAAAACAATGGCAAGCCATAAACAAGGAAGCGTGACGTGATTGAGCGACATAATCATCAAAATGAACGCTTGTCAAATGTCCACTGTCATTATTTAACTTATATACTATGTACATTGAACAAGTTGTGATATATGTATTTAGGTCTTTTCAACAAGTACCTACATTAGGGTGGTCCAAAAACAGTAAAGTCGGTATTGTAATGATCTCACCCCTAGGATTGTTCTATATCGAAAAAAATATACCCCCTTTTTGTTTTTTTGAAATCAAAAAATATTTAGAGGTCGCTCAAAGCGCTCAAACTTTCCCATGTATTTTTATATGGGGGAAAAAAAAACTTTTCGTAGAAATGGTATAGAATTCTTGAAAATCAATACTTTTCGATCGGAAAACTCTGGTTCTCTTCAGGAGACTTTCAATAATAATACATAATTGTTTATTTAACCATTTCTTAATACTAACGATTTTTTATTGGTTCGCCCATTGCATTTTTCGGGGTTTTCGGGGTTTTCGTGGGTTTTTAGCGGGCCTATAAATTATAGTTGCGATGAAAAAATGGTTAAATAAACAATTGGGTATTATTATTGGGAATCTCCCGCAGATAAACTGAGTTTTCCGATAGAAAAATATTGATTCTTAAGACTTCTATACCATTTCTACGAAAAGTTGTTTTTTCCCCATATAAAATATATGGAAAACTTTGGGCGCTTTGAGCGACCTCTAAATATTTTTTGATTTCAAAATAAAAAAAAATAGGGATATATTTTTTTTTTTGGTATAGAACAATCCTTGGGGGTGAGAGCATAAAAATTCCGACTTTACTTTTTCACATGCATTTTTGGGCCACCCTAACCTACATACATAAATATGTCCATTTCCGACTATTTTCTAAGAGCCATCTCAAATCGAAAACAGCAACAATGTTTAATTTCCTGTTTGTTAGACAAAACACTTGGCATCCGCAGACACACGCAGTTATTTATTATTGTTGTGCTGGAAGCACATTTCTTTACCGTTCTGAATTTCCACCCAAGCAGCCTAACCCCTAACGCCTGTCCACTCCTCAGATTATTCTTGTTTATCTTCTTATTTATGTTCAATGCAAAAAGGAAATTAATTAAGTGGAGTGTTATGTGGTTTTGCAAAAAATATTGAGCATCAAATTTCATTTTAATTTTTCTCGTTTTTTTTTTACTCTCGCACACAGACTTAGACCCCTTGCCTTCGCCGGATATGCCTGAACACTATGTTAAGGCGTCGAATGCTTTTACCAAGGTGGGCATCAATGTGACCAATGAGCTGGGACAAGTTCGCATACTGGAAGTTAGGTAAGTACTTACATAGCTATTCCAGGAAGTGGAAATTACATATTTGATTGACTTATTGCATTGCGTTTTTCTGTTTTTTTTTTTAGGGACATGGAAAATAATGCCGACGATCATCATGACGAGCACGATGAACCACATTCGCGTAGGAGGGTGAGTTATTCTGGCCTTAAAGCAGTTAGATAAGGAAAATATTTTGTAAATAATATACTATTATGAACTGAAATTCATTGACGTCAAAAAAGGCGTGAGTACCGGTACTCATGAAATCTTTGTATATAAGTAGTTGCATAAATAGGCTAGATTACAAATTAATAATAACTAGTGTTCGCCCAGCGGTTGAAATTCAACCGATAAAATTAGGGATTGTTTATGTGAGTTGAATGAGCTGAAAAAACATTAGTTGGAATGGGTTAAGTGGAGGGGAGTTTAGCTTAGCACTTAGCATACCACTAAACCATAAAATAAGATTAAATAACATAACATATGAAGCATAACACACCACAATATAACATCGCACAATCTTCAGTTGTATTTCCTTTTTATCCCTATCACTTTCTTCCTCTCTATCTAAATCTTATTTATTTTGGTTCACTTTATGCCGAATGATGTTGCCTTTGATGCCACATCAAGTGATATCATTTCATGTAGTGAAATTGGGTGTGGTGAGTTGCGGTGTGATGGAATTGGGTGTGGGAGTTACGGTGTGGTGAACTTAGGTGTGGTGAGTTAAGGTGTGGTGAGAAAGTTGAGGTGTGGTGAATTAAGGTGTGGTGGGTTTAGGTGTAGAGAGTTAAGGTGTGGTGAGAAAGTTGAGGTGTGGTGAATTAAGGTGTGGTGGATTTAGGTTTGGGGGTTAAGGTGTGGTGAGTTGAGGTGTGGTGAATTGGGTGTGGTGAATTTAGGTGTGGGGAGTTAAGGTGTGGTGAATTAATGTGTGGTGAGCTCAGGTGGAGTAAGTTTTTAAGCGGATGTGAGATGAGTTGAGGTAAGTTAAGTTAAGTTAAGGGGTTATGATCTTTATCCTTATCTTCATCTTCATCTTCATCTTCATCTTCATCTTCGTCTTCATTTTCTTCCCCGTCTTGGTCTTCATCTTCTTCTTCATCTTTATCTTTTCCTTTATCCTGATCTAAATATGTCCGTTATTTTCTTCATTTCCATATTCACCCCACCATTGTTATTGTGTTAGGTATTTAAATTTTCCTTCCTCTTTGTCTTTATATTTAGGTTTCTTTACTTTTATTTTAATTTCTTTATTTATCCCTTTCTTCTTCTCCATACTCAACTTTACCTTCTTCCTTTTTTGAGTCTAATCTATTCATGTACATACATACATACATCTTATTCCTAAACTGCTGCTTAGCACGTTTTTTTAATTCACTATCAATATTAAAGCATACATTTAGGAGGCATTTCCGCCCCAACCATGTACATGTATGGTACTTGTATTGGTGTGACTTTTGAATTGATTTTTTCGCTCTATTTTAAACTAATTTGAAATTTTAAAAATTGCCTGCACATCAGCATCAAAATACCTTTCTAATGATATATAATTGTTTATACCTTAGAAGTATAGTTTAGCCGTAAAAGGGGTGTAAACGAAACATGATTGCCTATTTATATAATTGATTTCATTAAATTTTATTCAATTTGCCTGGACCAGTACAAGAGTTTTTCATATTGTGGAAAGTCGTGAGCTTGTCATGAAATCTTGAAATGCTCCCGAAATAGTCCTTACTAGCTCCAAAATCATCCCGAAACGCTCCTAGAATAGTCCTTAAACCCGCCCGAAAATGGACCAAAACTAATCCATAAATGAAGCAGAACTAGTCCTTAAGTAGTCTGAAATGGTTCAGAACTAGGCCCGAAACAGTCCTGGACGGGTCCCCAAATTATTCCGAAATGGTCCTGAAATAGTTTTGAACAGGCCACGAAACTATCGAAAAAGTCGTGAACTTGTCCCGAAATGACCTCGTAAAAGTATTGAAACGGTTCGGAAATGGTGCCTTATACTTTGCCCAATCTTACATGGGAGACTGTACACCGGATCAGGGAATCGTAACATAAAATCGATTCTAATTTTTCTGAAATATGTACATTAGGGTGCATCACCAAAAAAAAAATTGCGAGTTTTCCACCGGAATTATAAAACGTATTATATTTTAAGACTCTCGCCAAAATATTTCGGACAAAATAATGGTTTACGTTAAGCAGACCGATTTGCAAATTCCTCCAGAAAATATCATTATTTTGATTCCGTTGATAAAATTTTTAAACATTTCTATACAAACGTTTTAAGCGTAAAATCTTATGCTGAATTTCCTCTAGGCATTAAATGGCAAAAATGACAAAATTGGTCATTAAAAAATAATCATCTCATTACTTAAAAAATAGTCACTAAATTCATTTCCACATGGAAATTTTTTTAGTGGCATACACTTTTTGTCAATTCAATGCCTAGTGGAAACACGGCATTATATCATATGATGTGATTTTTTAGAAAAACAATATTTTTTCTAAATTAATTTTTTTATACAAAACTAGATTTTTAGTGTAATTATCAAATGGCTCCAGCTGACGTAAATCTTAATATATTTCCGAAGTATTTTGGTATGAAAATATAATACTTTTTATAGAAGCGATGGAAAAACAATACTGATTTTTGATTGGATAGAGAGTGATGCACACTAATGTACTTACGAACACACCATACCATACCACTTGAAATGTTTTGTTCCAACGAAAGTTAATCTATACGTTTTCCTTCCTTTCTTTTCCTTTTAGAAAATCCTGAAGTGGTTTAAAATTTCCGTGCTGTTGGTAGTTTGGGCTGTGTTTACTGCATTCCTAATGTCGAATACCGAACATGTCGATGAACTCAGACTGATTAGTGTTCCTAGGAGCGGTGAAGAGAAATGTAAGCACAAAATATTCTTACCCCACCACCCTCCATTCAGTTAGAGATCGTTAATTTTTAAACAAACCCCTCCACAGTATTCCCCGTAACGACCGCCACGCTATCGCGTCTTGGACTGAAGCTAAAGGGACCTTTCCGTCAGCAAGAATCCTCCGATTCGGTTGGCAAAAACAAAAGTACCTACTCAGCCGCACCAGCGCTGCATGTGCAGATACAACGCAAATACTACAATGCCAGCGGTGATGAAATCTACGTGGAAGATGCATCTACGGTTTGGAAATTATCAATGGTCTATCCAGAGGAATTGGATACCGTTAAGGAATCGTGGAAGGCCAACAATTATGGCATAACGCCAGCCGACGAAGAACTGCTGCTGCAAGCCAACTACACACAGTTGAATTTGCGCTTCATCGCCAACATCGACAAGGAATTCCCACTGCAGCTGTGTATAGATGAGTCGCCCATCTATAAAAAGGAGGGTGTCATCTATGCAGCGATCGTCTTGTGTGGATTGTATATAATGATAATTTGGGAAATTGTTAATCGTACCTTCGCGGCAATGATTGCCTCAACGCTGTCAGTTGGCATACTGGCGGCGCTCAATTCACGTCCCTCCATGGCGACGATAATGGGTTGGATTGATGTGGAAACGCTGCTGCTGCTCTTTGGCATGATGATATTGGTGGCTATACTCTCGGAGACTGGCATCTTCGACTATTTGGCTGTGTATGCTTATAAGGTGAGAGGGAGGGAGGTGGAATGAAAGAGGGAAAGCAATTGAGTTTCTGACTAAGTATATAACTCCCATTTTATGTGCTTTACAGATTACGAACGGACATATTTGGCCGCTTATCAATTGCCTGTGTCTATTTACGGCGGTACTCTCCTCATTTCTGGACAATGTGACGACGGTGTTGCTGATGACACCAGTCACTATACGCCTCTGTGAGGTGATGTCGCTGAATCCGGTGCCTATACTGATGTGCATGGTGATCTATTCGAATATCGGTGGTGCGCTGACGCCCGTAGGCGATCCGCCGAATGTGATAATTGCTTCGAATAATTTCATTGCAAGAAATGTATGTATTGGTAATACTAGCGAGACAATTCTGGTTAAGATAGTTGAAAGTCTTTGGAAGAAATTGAAAGACAGTAGGCAAGATTGTTTGAAAGATGTTTATTCTGGCACGAAAGTCTTACAAAGAAAAGCTCGCTTGCCAACTTTCATTATCAGAGACCATTTGAACAGAAAGCAATTGAGCATATTCCAAATACATACATACATATGTATGTATGTATAAGATTTTATTCGCGTTGCCGAGTGAGTAAAGCACGATCGGAAGTTTTTTGTTTAATTTATTATTTTTTTTATTTAAGATATATAGATAGACAATATATAGAAAAATATATGATATTTAAATTAAATGATTTTTAGAAACTCATTTACAACCAATTTCACGAAACCAATTTAAGTAAAAAATGATGATTTAATTTTCTGAATTTTATATGGAAATCGACTGAAAATAAGAAATAATTTTCCATTTAAACTTATTTTTATTTTTTGTATTTTAAATTTTTCTCTTTTTTTAATTTAGTGTTAGGATTTTTTAAAAAGAAAAATATTGTTTGTTGCGTTTAATTTGATTTTTATAAACTTATATTTTTTCTTAATACTATTAATAGAATTTTTTTCCGCTGTGAATTAAATTTTCTTTTAATTTTTAGATGCTACTGTTTTAAAAAGTTTAGTATTTTTTAACTTCATTAAATTTTTTGAAATCTTATTTGATTTTTTTTAATTACTATTTGTTTTAAGTTGATTTTCTCTTAATTTTTATATCTCAGTGTTATAAGAAAATTTTTTTTTTTTATTTCATTGAAGTTTTAAAAGCATATTATTTTTTTCTTTTGTAATTTTAATATTCGTTTAATTTTTAGATTGTATTATTTTAAAGAAAGGTATGATTTTTATTTAATTTTAGCAGAATATTTTTTTTTAAATTTTTTTTTTCTTTCTTATTTTTTCTTGATATTTTATTGCTTTTTAAAAGAAAACTATTTTCTAAGTTTCATTTAAATTTTAGAAACTTATATGTATGTATATTTTTTCTTTTTATCATTGCCTAATTATGTTTTTTTGTAATTTGATTTGCTTTTGATTTTCAGATTTTATTTTCTTAAAATGATTTTTTTGATTTCGGTTAATTTTTGTGATCTTACTTATTATTTTCCTTTTTTTATTTTATTTCTTTTTTTAACTAAATTTTCTTTTAATTTTAAGGTTTGATTGTTTTAAGAAGAGAAAAAATGTTTTTTTATTTTTTATTTCATTTAAGTTTTACAAACTTTTTTTAATATATCTTCATATTTTTTCATATATATTTTTTGTTAATTTAATTATTTTGATTTTATTGTTTTAAAAAGAGATATATTTTTAGATTTGATTTAATTTTTAGGAACATATTTTTTTCTTTCCTAATTCAATTAATAGGTTATATTATTTTACGAAGAAAAATATGTTTTTTAATTTCACTTAATTTTGGTAACAGTTTTTTTTTTTTTTAATTTTTTTTTAATTCATATACCTTTTTGTTTAAAAAGTTTTTTTTTTTTCATTTAATTTTTCAACATTTTTTAACTTTAAAATTTTTTCTTTGCTTTTTAATTTAATTTAGTTTTAGGTTCTATTGTTCTTTTAGTTTGTAGTTTTTATTGATTCAGAAAGAAAAATATATATATTTTTATAAAAGACGAACAGAATAACGTTGAGATCTCCTCGTTAGCAGGTCTTTCAATTAGCCTTTCGAGAGACAGAAAATAGCTTTCAAGATTGTTCCCAGAATTGAGAATTGTCTTACGACGGACTTTTGTCTCTGCCCTGTAAATCTAACTGTGATACTTATGGTCTCTTTTCTTCCGAACGTAGGGTGTCAATTTTGCCATTTTCACGCTGCATATGCTGCCCGGTGTGATATTGGTGATGATACAGACCTATGTGCAATTACGTTTTAAGTTCCGCAATACAAACGATTTACAATTCAAAGACTCGCCCGAGGTGGAGGAACTGCGTCACGAGATTCACGTGTGGAAGCGCGCAGCTCAAAGTCTTTCGGCCTATTCGAAGGACGAGGAAATTGTACGTCAAACGCTGATGAAGAAGGTGAATCGCTTGAAGCATAGCTTGAAGAAACGTGTCTCGGAGGCTGGCGAACCGGCGCCCAACTACAAACAAACACTGACGCAGCTGCAGGCGAAGGTAGCACCTAATTTTTTTTTGTACTTTATTTTTTTTTTTTCTTTCACAAAACTAATTTATCTTTTTCTCTTCTTCCTCTTTTACAGTATCCCATTCGCAACAAGTCGCTGCTCATCAAATGCTCATTCGCTCTCGTCTTCGTGATAAGCTTGTTTTTCTTGCACTCAGTGCCCGAATTACAACGCCTCTCGCTGGGTTGGACTGCTCTCTTGGGTGCCATATTTCTGCTCATCTTAGCCGATATTGAGGATATGGAAGCAATATTGGCGCGTGTCGAGTGGTCTACGTTGCTTTTCTTCGCCGCTCTATTCATACTTATGGAAGCTCTATCCGAATTGGGTCTCATAGAATGGATTGGCCAAATGACAGAAAGCATTATTTTGGGCGTGAGCGAAGGTTCTCGCTTAATGGTGGCGGTTTTAATTATACTTTGGGTACGTATTTTGGTAATTTGGATAATTTTGATCTCTCGTAATTGCATCTTGCTTCTCTTTTTTTGCTTAGGTTTCAGCCATAACCTCTGCATTTGTAGACAATATTCCACTAACAACGATGATGGTGAAAATCACAATTTCTTTGGCCGAAAATTCTGCGTTGAATTTGCCACTGCAACCACTTGTTTGGGCTCTGGCCTTAGGTGCTTGTTTGGGTGGTAAGTACTTTACGGAATATTATACAAGCACTAGCTTCCTGGGATTGGTTTAATTTCTTTTTTGTGTTTCCACTTTTTCTACATACTAAATTTTTCGAACCTCATGAATTCTAAACAATGGGGTCAGGGTTTTTGTGTCCTTTTTAGTTTCCTTAATTTTTTCGAAACCTTTTGTGGATTTTGAAGATCTTATTTTATAGCCGTGTGCCAATGAACGAAATTACGAAAGCGGCAGACGTCCACACATAACTATTCGGGGCTGTATTCAAAGTGATACTCCAAATGTTTAGACCGCGGCCTTACAAAGGATGAATAGTTTACACTGACGTGTTCTTCAATCCGGTATAAGTTCTGCCAGGGGCTCTCAGCTTAGGGCAAGTGCTCAGATTTATGCCAGGAAAAAATCTCTGCTGGAAAACCGTTGCCGGAGATTACTCTCCTTTTTGATTATTTTCGTGTCACCGATGGGGTTGATAAGAACTGCGTGATTTAATGGTTAGCATTGCCGAACTTCCTTTGGATCCAGTGGGGTTTGGTTCGCTCATGGGGTTTGGTCAGCTCAGCATGCGCTGGGGGAAGACCTTGGAATGCAAGGTGGATTAATCCTTCTGACCACGATTAGATCGGAGTCGGTCCAGAGTGGTCTTCAGAATAGAGACGGGTGCGGGATATAGGGACCCGCGGAACCCACGATACTGATTTCAAAATGACCGGGATGGGCGGTATCGGGAAGGTCTTAACAAATTTTTCGGCCGGGATGAGACCAAAATCCGTTCCCGACTCTCCCAATAAAACCCACGACCTCCACAAATTCAGAAAATCTTCCTTAAAGACGTTTTATGAAATAGGCACTTTTTTATGTTTTATTGAGACGAAAACGAACAGTGAAGTTAAAAAACTAATCGGATGGTGACAGATCTTTCATCATATTTTTATTATTTAAAATTGATTTGAAAGACATGTAAATTAACCTCGGTGATAGATTTGGGGACCCACGGGACCTGCGGTACAATTCTGGATTTAATATTTAGTTTCATGCCCATCTCTACTTCAGACCAAGCAAGTTACGTCTCCAACAACTGGGGGAGTTTTAACTGTTCATTGCGTCATAGCTAAAAATGCGGTAAGACTGAATATCATCCATTACCCTTACTGTGTCAGCTGAATGGAGGATCGTGAAATGAAATCACCTCAACACCCGCTGCTCGGATGCCTTGCCTCTGCGAGCCTTAGGTTCAAGCACCTCGCGTTCCACTTTTTCTACATTCCCGATGAGCGGTTTTCTTACCAGAAGCCTTATATGTATTCCTCCCGCACTCCCTCTGCTTACATTCTTTCCCTAAATGTTCCGTCCTTTCTGTACCTTTTCCCTTCCCCTCTTAAAGGCACCACAATGACCCTCTAACCCAAGCTAAGGCGCTACTAAGCAAGCCGGCTATTTGCTAGTTTATCCTAAGTCTGAGAAATATTGACAAGGTCCATGAGATTGCATTGGCGGCAATTGGAAAAGCGGCTCATTCTTAGAATACGAGTACTTTAATAAACTGCGATCGGCGATAATATTTTTCAATCTTCCCCATAAATTCCTCAATCCAATTCGGTTAGTTTCCTTAACCGCCATCGTTTTAAATACTTTTTTTTCGGATTTCCAACACTTTATTTGCTACCTATAATATTTCACTGTTTACTTTAAATTTCCCCTTTGTTTCCACAGGCAATGGCACGCTAATCGGCGCCTCAGCGAATGTGGTTTGCGCTGGTGTAGCCGAACAGCATGGCTACAAATTCACTTTTCTCGAATTTTTCAAGTAAGTTGGCAACACTGACTATTAATTTATTTAAAGAATTACAACAAATATATCACTTTTCCATAGGGTCGGCTTTCCAGTTATGATTGGCAGCATTATTGTCTCCACTGGATACCTACTTTTCACACATTGCCTATTCGCCTGGCACTGATCGACACCGCTTGCCTGAATTGGCAATTAATTGCAGTGAGAATACAAATACATACCTCGAATAAGAAAAGCATTGCAGGAATTACAACGTCAAGCGAAAAGAAAAAAAATCGAGCTTTTAGCAACAACCCGTTATTTGTATATACATATAAGAGATATGTATTTAGTACACATCACCACTAGGATACGCATACAAAACATCCTTATGAGTAAATCAATTGAAACAAATTTTTCATTAGAAATATTTAATCTTTGTATTCTAAAAATTAACTTAGTGTGAGAAAAAGAAATTTTCTTGTTGCTGCAAAGCGTCAAGAAAATTTATTTTAAAACTTTTAGGGAAAATTATTTAAAAAAACATTTAAGAAAATTTAACGTTTTGTTTAACGTTTTTTGGTGTAAAAAATATTACGAGTATAAATATTAAATCGTAAAATTAATATCATTCTAAATAACAAACGAAGCATAAATTTAAGTGTAAAAAGCAACAAAAAAAATCATAACTACTAATATTGAATTTAAAAAAGGGCAAACGAACAGAAATAGAAGAAGAAGCAGAAAAAAAAACAAAATTATTTTTACAGCTGTTGTTACTTTAGTCAATAGTCTATGGGAAGTATGTAAAGCAGCAGCGTAGAAGCTGAAGTGAATGTGATGCAAAGTATTTTGGCGCACCGAGCACGTATAGTCCGTTGGCGTTAGTTTATGACCAGTATGTATAGTAAAGTAGCAAAATTTTCATACACGAATACACTTGTTGAGAAAACAATATGAAGCTACTGAAGACTAAATTACGGAAAAGTGGCCATTTTGAAGTGCTGTAAATTTTTTAATATTAATAAATTATATACATATTTCTGTTTTGTTTCGTATTAGTATTTTTGTTAATATTTTTTTTTTTTGGTATTTTTCTTGCTTATCTTCATTTCTTCGACATTTTTTCTTGATAAGTATTACGCATATATTTAGAAATGAAACATACACTCCGTAGCACATGAATAGGGACAATGCTTCTTCGCTTTTATTTGTTGGTAATTTTTCTTTCAATTAATTTTTATTATTTTTTAATTAAAAATACAGTGCACTCTTAAAAAAAAACCACGTAAACGTAAGTTTCAAGCATTGTAATAAATTAAGAAAGATTCATCAAATTTTCCTTAAAATTTCAAACTTTTTTCTCACAATAGCTAGAATTTTTCTGGGTATGCAGTTTGTACCCCTTTCAATTTGAGTATAATTAACTGGAAGTTGGAAGTAGCAAAAAATTACCGTTGATTTTTGAAAATTTTTTCACTGACGCTTCACAATTTTTTTATATGGAAAATATTGCTTAAGAGCGTCAGTTTAAAAAAAAATCAGAAATTAACTGTAATTTGTAGCTACCTGCACTAAATACCCCAAAAAAAAAATCTAAAAATTGAGAAAAAAAGTTATGAAGAAAATGTTATGATTTTTTTTTTTTGTTCTCTACAAAGTTTAAAACTTGCGTTTATGTGTTTTTTGTTAGATAATTAACTGCATTTCAATTGAAAACTAACAGAAATTACATTTTTTTAAATAATTCATAAAGAAAAACCGAAAACCCATTGCCCTTATTCAATTGCATGGAAATTTAGTAGACATATTTGACCGACATATTTAAATGAATTACTAAAAGTAAAGTTTTTCGCCAAAAAATTTATCTATAAATTATTTATATCTCGACGTTCATATAAAAATTATACATACTGCGAGTATACATATTATTATGCCATTCGATTTCATTGTTTGCATTATTTAAAATGCCTTTGCCTTGAAAATCAGTTTAATAACTATATATTAGTATACATATATTTATGTACTATGCATATACTATTTGATTTTAGTTAAATGTAATCTCTTTATTATTGTGTATAACATTTAGATATTTTATGTAACTACTTTTAAGAGATACTGTTATTTATATGAATAAATAAAATCAATTTCACCAAAAAATATTGAAAACTTATCAAGTGGAGTTGTGTGCTTTTCAAACTTATTGATAAGAGAGTGGAGGCGACTTACGGAAGGTTTCAAGACCAGGGCGAACTCCTGTAAGTACAGTGATGGCGACCAAGTGGCCGCTGTTTATAATGGGAATTTTTGCACACTATTAAATGGCTGCAGCATTGAAAGTTTTAGAATTTGATTTTTTAAATATGTGGCAACCCTCCTAAATGTAGTTCGGAAATAAAGCACGTCAAACTCATTTAGATTGATAACTTGATTGATATAACTTGTGCATAATTTAATTTAATTCGACTTTTCAAGCGGGCGGCAACCCTCTTCGAAACATTTTCAAAATAAAACCCTCTAAAACCTCTTTCGTCTGATACCCATATTAAATAATTTGAATATTATTTTTTAAAAGGTGGCAACTTTTTTCTGAAAAGCAAAACTCAAAACAAAAATTCGAATTTAACGCCAGTAATAGGCGGTACCACTGAGAAAAATAAAAAAAATAATTATCTGAGTAAAACATAAGTATGTATAATAAACACATATAGTTAGCGTGACCATATTTATAAGAGCAAATACGGAACAAAAATAATTTTGCTAATTTTTTCAAAAAAATTAATAAATTTTAAAACCTTCAATGATCCTAGATGTATTAGCCCTGAAACAGCATCCTGAGTCAAAATATTTTTCTCGATCTCTTGTGGAAACAGCGCATACATGCATGTTCAGTGGTAAAATCATAAATTTTTAGGATATTTTTTTATAACTTCAGACCTGAAGCTCGCGATTTGTACCCCACAAAGTTTGTTAAATTTTAGTATAATTTATTTTTAAGTCTTCAAAGACTTTTATTTTGAGACTTATGTTATAAAAGTCTTGTCATAATAATTATGAGTGCGAAATAATGTTTAAAGTCTAAAAGGACGGGACCGTTTCGGGATTAGTTCGGGACTAGTTGAGGGCCAGTTCGTAAACTTGTTGGAGAGTAGTTTGGGGCCAGATGGGGGCCAGATGGGGGCTAGTTTGGGACTTTATTTTATATGAACAATGTTCATTGAACATAGTTCCGAAATGTTTCCAAACTAAGCCCCAACTAGTCCCAAACAACTGCCCGAGTAGTCCCGAACTGGTCCCCACCTATGCCGAATTGGGCCACAACTAAACTCGAAATGGTCCTAAACAATCCCCGTCTTTTAAGACTTAAACAATTTTTTCGCACTCATATTTATTATGAAAAGACTTTTATAATATAAGTCTTAAAAGAAAAGTTTTTGAAGGCTTAAAAATATTTATTTCATTGATTATTATGAAAAAAATTTTATAATATAAGTCTCAAAATAAAAGTTTTTGAAGACTTAAAAATATTTATATCTCTGATAATTATTATGAAAGGACTTTTATAATATAAGTCCTTGAACAATAATTATAGATGACTCGAAAAATATTTAACTTAATATAATAATTATAGATTGATTTTTATTCTTTTCTCTTATAACAGTTATGTCTCTGTTTTTGAATATATTTATGAGTACTATATCCGACCAATTTTTAATGAAAACGAAAGCGTATTGTAATATTTTACAACATAAAAAAATCTGGCTTTAAAATTAGGTGTTTTGGATAAAATTCGGCGTTGAGTACACAAAGGTAAAAAAGAGGGATTTTCAGTGTCCGACCATGGTGCACCAGGCACATTCATACAATAGTTACAAAGAAATTATTTGTTCGGTTTTTTTTTTGAAATTGGTTTCACACATTAGTTATTTATCTATATGTTAACAAAATATCTTTCACCGTTGTATATTTAAGTTCCAACGATATATCTATATTCACAGTTGATCACATTCTGGAGTCATATGTTCCTGTTAAGGCATCGAAATTCCGAACACTGGATACGGGACAAATATAGGACATAAAAAAACTACTGAACTTTTGGCTTCTCGTATAATATACGTAAATAAATTACGAGGATAATTGGCGAAAAAATGAATGTCCAGTACAATACAGGGCGAATGGCCACCGTGCCTATTAGAGCTGTCAAACTATCGATAGTCAAGCCCATCGATGTTTTACGATAGTCTTTAGGGTGACTATCGATAGTATTGACCCATTTCAAATGTTTTTCTAAATCCATTTATTTTTCGTTATCTTGCGGTTCACGGTTTTAGTATGGAGAAAAATGGCTAGAAATTCCTTCGCCGTGTAAACAGTCAAAAAGCGATTTCAAAAATTTTTCCTGCAATTCGCCTTTCGGAAAAAAATTCGTTCGAGTGACACTTTACATGCAAAGTGCCACTGCAAATGCAACTGCTTGCTGCAATTTCTCAATTTAGCAGTCTTTTGAAATGTACTGCATTGCCCCGTCTAACACGCTCTTAAGACGGAAATGTAACCTCTGCTATTTTCACGCTTAAACTAAAAAAAAATGGCGCTTTTAGAAATAATGCCATGAACCAACTAAACAGATCACCCAGCACGGCAACCGTGTACTTGTAATTGCATTTGAGAAAAAAATAAAAATTGTTGATAATGTCATTTTTTAATCGGTTGTTTCATTCACACAGATGGTTTCATTCCGTTTCATTCACATGGCGGCGAAAAAATGATGTCACTGCAAAAAAATATACTTTTTTCTCGCACACCGTCCTGGGTGATCTTTATTCGTTCGTTCATGAAATAATCATATATGTAATACTTCTATATTGGCAGTAAGCTAACTTCTCAATGTGTAAGCATTCCGAAATCAAAGCGAGACAGTCTAGTACCGTTTTTGTCAATGTATTGTGTACTTGAGTGCCGTTTTTGTATATGTGTTGTGTACATGTTTATTTATAAACGTGTGTGTTCCTTTTCTTTCGTACGTGTTTATTGATATATCTGTACTGTAGTGTTTTCGGACGGTACTAGCTCTTACTGCCAATATAGGAGTATTACATATATGGAAATAATGTTGCCAATTTTTGTTCTCTTTGAACGATTTAGGGCCGTTTTCTCATCTAACCTTTAGTTTACCGGCCACTTTATCGTCTCGATATACGAGTTTTCGTTTTCTCATAAGAGCATTAATTTCTCGAATCGATAAACTGTTGCTCACCCGACGCAACCTTTAAAATTTGTACCTAGCTCTAAATTTTGGTTTGGTTTTGGTTCATGAGTTAGATATATTAGATATTTCAACCAAGGTTTTGGTTGCTCTATATTTGCTTACATTGCATTGCCAACCTTTGGAATTTTATGACGAATGTAGTGAAGTTTCACTCTAGGAAGTGTAGTGAAGTTTCACTCTACGGAATAACAAATTTATTTTTACCCGTAAGATAAGAAAACGAAAACACTTTAAAGTGAGGAACAATTTATCTGCCCTGTTAGTAAAGGCAACTTTACTGCTTACATTAGAAAACGGCCCTTAAAACGATAGTGGCGTTAATACTAAAACTATCGATAGTTATTTCAAGTGACCAGACTATCGATAGTATCGTCGATAGTTTGACAGCTCTAGTGCCTATAGTGTGTGAGCGAGCACTCATTTTTGCAATATTTCGTCCAATTTTTTTAGTATATTGGACAATAATGCATTATTTTGCTCCAAAGCGTCGGCCTTTCTCAATTCAATGGAATTTCTGGTCTCCAGCGCTGCAATTTTTCTTTCCTCCATAGCAAGTCGGCGTTCTTCAATGTCCATTCTCCTTTTCGCAGCCATATGTTGTGGTGGCAGTGGATCCTCAAGAACTATATTTTCTGTTTGCGCTTTCTCAACGCTTTCCTCAACAAACTGTAATAAAAAGATAAACAAAAACAGAGTTAAGCATAAATGCCGATGGCCCTACTTCTATTTTAAAATGGTCGGCAGGGGTGTCAAATATTTCCACGGAAGTTACTCCATCGCTGCTGCTCTGTAATTATAAATTATTGTATAAATTATAACATACGTATGTATAAATATGCTCAAGCTACAAAAAAGTGTGTATATCTCTTTATTAATGTAAATGTTCTTAACTCACCAATAGCTCGGCAACTTCCGTTTGACCGACAATTGACTCTGAGTTCATCAGGCTAATGATGCGCTCATCTGAGTGGCTTAAATGCTTGTCACTAATTGATGAATCGATACCGCTTCGCTCAATTGCATATCCTAAGTCCACAAATTTTTGTTTGGCCTTGCTCCTATCATTTTTCGGAAACAATTTTCAAGAATCGTAATGCTATTTATGTATGTCTGTATGTAAATTTTCAAAGTTATTTACCTCATATTTATCCACGCTCTTTTCCATCCTTCACCATCCTTTACAGCTCCTCCACACGCATTTAATTTCGGGCCAAGGTGGTTCCACTGATCCAGTAAATTTTTGTAGCCGGTGTTATTGGCGAATCTTAAAAAAAGAATAAAATCTAAAACGATATCATATTTATGTATATGCCAAAATGTTTTCCCCACCTGTCGTGAGCAAACTCCCTGTGTTCTTCCATATATTTAATCAGCATATCTTTTTGCTCCTTTGTCACCCTTTTACTATTACTGTTTTCCATTTTTCCTTTTACTTACAATTAATTATTTTATTAAATGAAGTATTTTAAACAAGCAACAATGCATATAAGTATTACCAATTTTTTGTTGATTTATTTATTTAGCGCGAAATTGAAGCGAAGAATAGAGATTTTTAGCGAAGGAATTTGCCTTATGAGCTGTCAAAAACATTTCACTCACTTTATCCGCATTCATTTTGTTCATCGCTAAGTTCTGTCAAGAAATGAACCAAAAATGGAGATTTTTGGTGATTTTTAGAGTTGCTTTTTTATGACAGCATCGCGAAAATCGCTAAAAAAAAATAGCTTAAATTTATTTAGCGTTTTTTTTACTATAGAGTTTTAGCGATAGTTGGCATCCGGGTGTTGAAATGCGAAAAAGTCGAACTAATAAACTTTTTCGTTTGCACAAAAAACTTCGGGGTGGGGATTTGGGTAATTTGATGAATGGCATCATAATCAATCAAAAAGTTTTGGTTTTTATTTACATACGTCAACCGTAGCCGAACAGGTAGATCTGTAAACTGCCATTCAATAGGTCTTCGGTTCGAGGACAGGTCAGCGCAGACCTTTTCATTTTCTATTTTCAGCATTTAATTAGGTAACCTTATAAAAACTAAACGATTCCTTTTCTTGAAGAAGACATAACATAACACAAAACCGGTCGAGTGTTTTTGAATTGGTCAAATCACAAATCAAGAAATCAATTTCATTTGTTTGTAATTAGAAACAAACAAAAAATCAACAAAATAGACACTGATAAATACACAAAACAAAAAACAATAACCAAAAATGAAAACAATAAAACAACGCAACAATAGCGTTCCTGCTCTTCTTATGATTTACATTATTCATCAGCTGTTCCTCCAACAACTTCATCAGTTTATCTATTATAAGCTGTTTTGACATCTGCTGCTGTTTCACCCGCTCTTGTGATTTACTGCTGCGAGCGCCATCTATCTGCGAGTTTTGTAAATTTCGTGTTTTAATAAATACAGCATGAATACGCGATCCTCCAGTGTGAATACTAAAAACACACGCACTGATAACATATCGCCTTTCAAAGCTACAATACAAAGTGAAGAGTTGAATAATAAAAAATGAACATGAAAATCCGGTAAGCCAGTTGACAGATCGAATGGAAGAGTTTGAGGAGAGGATAATGCAGAAATTTGTTTACATGGTTGTTGACGTGCAAACTGTCAAGATGAGAGCAAGGCGCATCTATACAAGGTGATGTTACTGGAACAGCTGATTTGATATTTCTATCTCTACACTAGTACGGCAGAATGTCATCCATGACGAAATGGCGTAACTTTAGGATGTCATAAAAACAAAAAAAAAAGACGAAAATTATCTCCTATTTCCTTTTATTCTGACATCCTGATGTACATAAGAGCAATAACAAAATACACGGCATTTTTATCACGTTATATGGATGCGCCTTGGATGAGAGCAAGGCATATTAAACAAGTAATAGCAGTAGAGCAAACACAACCCTGTCATGTATGTTGTTATTGCTTGAGAAACCTAGAATGTCAAAACAGAAAGAAATGTAAGCACGTTCGACCAATCAAAAGCATGCATTTGTTATCTGCAAATATATCGAGAGAAAATTCTTTAAAAATTCCTCAAAAAATACTAAAGCGCACCCGAAATTCCTCACGTTTTGAGAAATTACTCACAAAGTGGCAACACTGTCCGTAAGGGTATTTATTTCTTTTTTGTTTAAACTTAAGAGCAACGATATGGGTTTCCTTTTATAGAATGGTGTGATCTCTAACGACTATTGTATATTGTATATCTACTAGTGTCCGACCGAAGCTTGAATTTTAGCCGAAGCCGAAGCCTAATATTAGGTACTATTCAACATTCGGCTGAACACCCAAGCCGAAGCCGAACATTAAAATTAAGCTTTACATCTCAAAAATAACACTACTTTACAAATTTAGGAACATTTTCTGACCTATAGCATTTGACTGCGATGCCTTATATAAAATTTGCCCCTGAATCCGAATATGAAATCAAATGTTAAGAAAGTAGAACAGTTTTCGAGATATAGCTAAATTTCTGTTTTTCGAGTTTTTAAAAGAAGTTATTTCACTAAACTGCCATTTTATCCAGGGGTAGTTAGTTAGTCAATTTCGAAGTTCTTTTTATGATCCTGAAGGTAATTAAATATCCCACCAACAGCGTCTGCCACACTTTTCAATCAAACTATCGGTTTAGAAGCTATTTATACATTTTTTGACAAGCTGGCATAATTTTTAACGAAATTTCAGAAAAATATTCAGTTTTTCTGTAAATTGCGTCTTAAAAACATGTTTACTTCCGTTTATTTATTTGACTTCAAAGTATGATCTTTTGGGAAAAAAATAAACCCTAGCCAATCCAAATTGGATTGAAAGAAATGACAAAACTGTCCGACCTGCGATATTTACATATATATGCATATGCAGGGCCGGATCGTGAACCCGAGGAAATGAGAATAAAAAACTTTGTACGCCCCAGTATGATAGATATTTTATTTTATTTTATTATATATTGTTTACAAATGAATTATATTTTTAACCGACTTCCAAAAAAGGAGGAGGTTATCAGTTCGTCGGAATATTTTTTTATAAATCATATGTTTTCAGTCATATGTTTTTTGCGAGAAATACTCCGCAGTAATTTTAAAATTTCCAAAATTTATATAAAAAAAATTTGGTATTCGAGCGTCGAGCTAACTCGACGGCACACTGTGAGCTTTTTTAACACTTCATGCCAATTAATCGTAGCGCTTTCGACAGACGCAATATTTTGATACGGAACAAAATGGCTTTGGGCCACAATCATCCCTTGACCTTAAAAAAATTGGTCATAAATATTGTTCTTCGAAAAAAGCATGCAAAATCCAACGGATATTAAAAAAAAAAAATTTTTTTTACTCTTTATTATACTAATATTATAGATTTTAAGACGAGAAACACGAGTCCACTGTTTAAAAAACGAAAAAAAATGTCAGCTTCTCAATTTCCGGGACTAGTTCGGCGCACAGATATTTGAGTATAGAGTATGCATTTCATTTCAGATTCCAATTGGTCCTAGTTCGGTCGATACACCCTGTGTTTTGTGTCCTTTGAAAGCACACAAGCAATTCACCTGTACATATAAATTTGTGTGGGTGGTGTGGCATCTAAAGTCTTTTCACTGTCATTTAGTCGTGGTAAACTTTTCAAACAAGCCGTAGCGTAATGCATTAAAATAGTTGAATATAAAACAGCATGTAAAATATGCAAAAATAAAATAAAGTATACCTTCATAAATACATATATAAAATCTATGCAGTAAAGTAACTGTTTTATGTGCGCGCAACAAAAGTCGCAAGTTCCGCTCGCTGCTAATAATCGATTTTCCTCAGTTGTGAGTTGAAAGTGTTGTGTCTACTTCTGCTTAACTCTCTCTCTAGTCGTTGGTAATTCTTATAATCCTTGCAAGCTTTTACAGCATGCTTATGCGTAATCTGATATTCCGCTCTAATTATTTACCAACGCGTTCGCCACATTTTCTATTATGACGACATTTAACATTACGTCAATATCAAAAATTTCGTGGACGCTTTTTTAAGGCAAGTACAGCAAGCTCGACAATACCAACCAACACAGCAGAGGATAACGTGCAACATTACCGCTATAGTAAACTCGATAATAATCCACATCAGCCTTGTCATAGGGATGAACGACTGCATTCTACAAGAATCAATAAAGAAGACCAACGACCGAATCATATAACCATTGACATTGATGGCGATGACGTGGAGTTAAGGCGGGCCTACAGCGGTGGTTACAAACGAAACGCATATATAGATCATAGAAAATACCGTTACACAGCGCTTGGAGCGCCCACGAAGAGGAAGCGTAAAATTGTTGTTGTTGTTGCAGTAAGTACCACGGCAACTGTGGTCACTTTGTTACTCTGGTATTACTGCTTTGGTTGGATAAGTAGTTTGCCGGCAATGTTCGCCGTACTTTTTGCTATTCTGCTGGTGACTGTGGGTTGGCGTTGGTTCTACATTGCCGCTCTGACGTGCAAGCGTGACATGACGTGAGTTATTACTATGTTACTTTACAACTTACAGGGCAATTCTGGCCAAAATGGACCATCCAATAAAAGAAAAATTTTATGAATTTCGAATCGATTGTTTATATTTTTGACGTGATCGTGCCTTAAAAGAGAGCCTCACTGAGTTGTCAATTACATCTTGATTCTGGCTAAAATGGTCCTTCGGAAGGCAATTGACAGTTAGTCAAGATAATTTGAAAGATTTTGTTTATTCTGGCACGAAAGTTTCCCTTGCCAACATTTGTCTTTTAACTTAGGTTCCTTTCAGTTTTAGGAATTTATTGTTTTAAAAGGAAAAATATTTTTATATTAATTATTTTTAAGAAACTGATTTAATTATTTTTGTTTGAATATTCTTTTATTTTTTAGATTATATTATTTAAAAAGGAATATACATTTAAATTATTTTCTTTTTTTCATATATATTTTTTTATTTTTTAATGAAATTTTCTTTCAAGGTCATATCGAGGTCAAGTTGGTTTTTTAAGTGGTACCCCATATACATTTTTATAAATTTAATTTAATGTTTAGGACCTTATTTTTTGTAAAATTTTTTTCGTCTATATCTATTGTTTTTTTTTTTTTAGATTTTATTGCTTTAAAAACAAAATTTTTAAAATTTTACTTTATCTTCAGGAGCGTTTAGTATTTAGATTTAACTGTGTTACTTTATATATTTCTTTAATTTTTTTTTTGTAATTTCATTCAACCTCCAAGGAGTGTTTTATGAAATTATTGTTTAATTAAATTTTCTTTGAATTTTTAGATATAATTTTTTTACTCTTTTATAATTTTTTTATATATAAATTTTTATATGATTTTATTGCTTTGAAAATATAATATTTCATTAAAACTTAAGGAACTTATTTTATAAAATGTAATTTAGTTTTTTTTTAATTTTTAGATTTAATTGTGTTACCTTTCGTTTCTTTTTAATGTTTTTCTTTTTGGTGTTTTGCTTTAAAAATGCTTATTTTATTTTTTCTTTTTTTATAAAATTTTTTCGTTTGCAATAACTTTTTTTATTTCGAGATTTTAGTTATTCAAAAAGAAAAATATTTTTGATTACGTTACTTTTTAAACCTTTTTTATTTCTTTATATTTTTTTATTTGGTTTTAAAAATATTTATTTTTTTAATTTATTTAATCTTTTTTAATTACCTTTAAATTAAATTTTCTTTTAATCCTAGGATTAATTCTTGTACCTTTTTGATTCTTATCTGTTTAAGGGAAAAATATTGTTTTTTTATTTCATTTAATCTTTAGTAACTTATTTTATTTAACTTTTTTTTGATAATTAATTTAATTTTCTTTTGATTTTAAGATTTAATTGTTTAAGGATGATAAATATTATTATTATATATATGTATGTACATATATTTAACTTAGTTATTTTATTTTTGAAATAAAGTTTTTACATTTGAATAAAATTTTCTTTTACTTTTTATTTTATTTTTTTAAATATTTTTTATTTAATGTTTAGGAACTTCTTTTACTGACATTCTTTATTTTATTTTTTTCATTTTTTAGTTTAATTTTCTTGTAATTGTAGATTTTATTTTTGTAAAAATATTTTTTTTTATTTAAATTTCCTTTGATTTTTAGTTTTTATTGTTTCAAAAGATAAATATATATTTTTTATTTGAATCTTAGGAAACTTATTACTAAAAGAGAAACAGAAAAACGG